CTGCAGTGGTGTCCCAGGTGAGGCAGCACAGTCTGCTCACATTCCAATGGCTCGGCTTTTCCACATCAGACAATTTGTTTTCCCTTTCACATCAGCCTGTGTCCCATTGCTGAGCGCTGCCCCATGTGAGAGCTGGCACTTCACCCTCTGTGTCCCCAAAGAACAAAGGAATCCAGGAGAGGGAACCCCAATCCTGAGCAGCCATTGTGCCCCCAAGAATGATCACTTTCAAGGACAAGTTAAAATACCAGGTTTTCTCTTATGAAAGGGACTAAAACCTGTTCAGATTTCCATAAGTGCTTTACAGAACGTCAGCTGGAGTTTACAGGGAGAGTTTACTTTATTTTCAGTCCTCCAGAAATAACCACCTGTTCCAGTTATCCTGGTCCAACCTCCCCCGAGACAACAAACACATCCTGAATTTTAAACGAGGAGACTTTGACCAAAGAAACCCAGAACCTTCTGTTCACTTCAGGCCTGTGAAAATATTGATCCAAGTTCTCCGGTCCCAGGAATGCAGGTACAGTGGGTGACACCCCTGCTCGCCCCTGGGTATCAGCTGCTTGGTGGCAGCTGCTCCTTACCCAGCCCAGCCCTGTGAGGGCACCAGGGTCACTGTCTTCACATCATTCTTTAATTTTTTGCTTCTTTTCATCCTCTGGATGCTTTTTCTCAGGACCTGACCTCTGTGAAGTGGAAGATTGCTAAGACAGGGGTGTTGTTTCCTGGTAAATGTTACACTTATTTTCAGCACTCTGTATGGTTATCATAACCAGAGTCTGGAGTCTGATTTGTTGTCAGCCATCCCTTTTTGGTTTCCAGGAGTGAAATCTGAAGGATCCTCACACAGTGGATGCCCACAAATGCAGTGCCGGAAGTAGCTCCTCCAGTCCCACAGGCTGTGCCCTTCCTTGCCCGCTGTGGCTGTGGGGTGGCAGTGCTGTGAGCAGGGCTGGCAGTGCCTGTGGTGGCATTCACTCACCCTTCTGGGGCTGCAGGGGAGGCAGCACACAGAGCCCTTTGTGCCCAGCTCAGGCCCAGCTGTGCCAGCAGCAGCACCCAGGGCCTCCAAGGAAGGCAGAGCTGTCCCTGGCTGGCACTGCCACCCCCAGTGCTGCCAGCCCAGGACACTGGGGCTGCTTCAGCATCTGCAGTCTTTAGACTGAGGAGTTAAGTGACTCCACGGGCACTTGAGCCATTATTAAATGAGAACACATCTCAATGGATCAAACCCTGGCTGGAAAAACAAGGAACCCCCTCTTCACCCCCACAAACCTCCTCTGTCAGAGGGGGAGCCTGGTTTAAATGTTCCTTGTGACAATTGCTCCCCTGCTGGTTCCTCGTTACCACAGGGATAATTACAAATAATGTTTCTATTTTCTGATTGCATCATCTGAGTCAGGGATCTGACAGCCAGGGCCAAAGGGCAGCACGCCCTCGGAGTGCTGGGGAGGGAACTTTGCCACAGACTGCCTGTGACTCAGGAAGGGTGTGATGAGAGATGCACAGGATTATCCTGTGTCTGATGGCTGCTGCCTTCCTGCTCCCTCCATCCTCCAGCTCTGCTTCCTGACAGAAGCTGCACCTGCAGGGTACTCTGGCTTCCCCAGAACAGCAGGATTCTGCTCTCACCCAGAATTCAGCAGAAGGCAAATACAGAAATACAAAGTTCCTGGACAGCCAGGATGTCTGGTAAGTGTCTGCCCATATCCAGGGAGCAGCACAGGAATGTTCCCCCTTGACCTCCTGTTACCAGGCACGTTTGACTGAACATTGTAAAAGTGACTCCCCAAATGATTTGGAGGAGGCTTGAATAAGAAACTTTATTCTGGTCTTAGAAAAAGTCAAGGCCTTTCCAAATCCTACAAAAAGCATCTGAAATTGGATAAAGATAGAAACTCACTGATGTGAATATTCCTCCTGGTGGGATGACTTTGGGAGACTTGGGATTAACAGCAGCTGTAGCTGCTGGGGGCCCTCAGGAATTCTTCCCTCTAACACAAGATTATTGTCACAGAGTCAGCTGGAAAATTAAGCTACTGACACCGGAGTTTACAGAGAACTTTGGGTGAAACAGCAGAAATGTTACATGGCCCTTCCTTCCCATGTCCCTGCTGCCCTCACTAATTTGCAACAACCTCAAAATCCTCCCATGTTCCAGCAGAGACCTCCCAGGAATGGAACCTCCATCTTCTTCCATTTGCCTGACGCCTCAGGCAGTGGGAGCAGCTGCAGACACCACTCTGGCCATGAGCAGGACTCGGTAGCACTCTGTGATGTCCCCTTTCACAGTCAGCAGGGCTGACACCAGAGGGGGGTCACTGGTCTGCAGAGAGAACCACACAGAAACCAGCCTGGTCTTGTGGACACAGGAGACACGGGCTGATCACCTTCTGAGCTCTGTGTTTCACATCTCAGTGTTCAGGTACCAGGTATAGCTACAGGTGACAGCTACAGCCACTGTGCTGGCTCCTCTCTGTCCCCAGGTGATGCTCAGGCAGCAGACAGTGAGGTGTGCCAGCGACTCAGCCCCGTGTCCCCACAGAGACTGTCCCCACGTCACTGCCATGGCAGCCGGGCACAGCAGCAAGCCCAGAGCTCCCAGGGAGGGCTGGAAGGAAATCCTGTCAGCCCCCAGTGAGTGCTCAGGGTTGAGCAAGAGCAGGGTTACCAAGGGGCACCATGCAGGCTGGATTCACCCTGCCAGGAACTCTGCTGCCTCTTCCTGCTGTGATGGCAGAAATCTTTTAATTTTGGAACCAGCTACTCATTGTGCCATCCCACACACGGGGACTCAATGCCCCCATGCCCCATGAATGCCCGAGGAGGTGAATCAAGGCAACCACAGCCCCATGGAGCTGCTGGGACATCACATCCAACCTTACAAGGCAGAAGTAGCAGATACCGGGCAGTAGAAGGGAAAAGGGGCATGCACCGGGAGCTTTGTGCCACACCCCAACAGGAGCCCTGTGTGATATCCCCCCAGGAACGTTGTGTGCCACCCTCCCGTTGCCCCGTGTGCCACAGCGGTGCCGCGGGCTCACCTGCAGGTCG